ATGCAGAAACACAGATTGTAGTAGTCAATCACTAGGCCAACAATCAGAAGACACTTCTCCAAACACACTCAAGAACCCTGGAGCAAAGCCCTCTGCCCTTTGGTATTTAAGAGTTCCCCATATAATAACCTAAAAATAAGGCTTACCAGATGAAATTCTATTCACCAACACAGGGCCTCAATCAGCTATTTACTGCCTCATTTTTTAGTATGTATAAGCCATCAATCATCACCAACACTTAGGAAAATCTGCAACTTGGAAAAGAAAGATCAACAAAAATTACTCAAAACAATAGAGAGATGATACAGGACACTGAAGAACCGCCCCCCTCCCAAATGTCCAGTTAGTATCCTCAAATACTAATTTCCCCGTGAGAAAGGGACAGGGATCAAGAGCCCTTGGAATTTAAAAACTATTGCTGAAGGGCCCCTGGTGGCTCAGTCGGCTTCTGACTTCGCTCAGGTCATGATCTCACAGTTCACCAGTTCAAGCCCTGAGTCTGGCTCTGTGCTGACAGTTTGGAGCCTGGAGCCTGCTTTGAATTCGGTGTCTCCCTCTCTCTCTGCCCCTCCCCAACTTGCTCAGGCGCACTCTCTCTCTCTCAAAAATAAATAAACATTAAAACGTTTTTTAAATAAATAAAAATTATTGCTGAAACTAAGAAAAGTGTTACAGAAGGAACAAAAATCAACAAATGCCGTATAAGAAATAAACCATAAGCAACACACAGGATCAAACCCAGAGTTCTAACATTCTACTGTTGAAACTCCAAGAAAACAGAGAAAATGGAAGGGAGACAATTATTTAAAAATTACACAAGCCAACCGTTCTTTGGGTTGAAAGGATTCGCCAGTGTCCCACACAACAATATAAGTTCCACATGCAGACATGTCTTTGGGAACAAGCAGTATCGAGACCCTCCCCAAGTCTCCATTGGAACACACTCTACTGGGGGCCAGGGGTGGGGGCTCGGTGGTCTCTGACTGAGGGTTTGCCACAGTCCTTCAGGGAGCTGGTGGCTAAGGAAACGAGACCATGAGGTCTTGCTCCCTCGGCTGCAGTAAGAGAACCCAGCCCCAGGGTCTGGCTTGTGGAAAGTAGGATTTTAAAAAAGTATACACAATATCATTTACGTTTGGATTTAAAAACCGATACACATTTATTTTTAATAGGTGAGAGATTCGCCAAAGCATTAATGGTATTTGTCTTGTGAACTTCCTTTTTGTAATAAGCACTGTGGCCTAGATCAACGGTTCTCAAACTTTGGGGTATGCCAGAATCACCTGGAAATCTAAGAACGCAGAGATACGGGCTTGTTGAAGCAGGACAGGACTGGGGGCTGTGTAAATTTCCTGTTTCCCACACCATGATTCTGATATGATCAAGGTTCAAAAACCACTGACCTAAAAATTCTAAGACCCAGAAACAACAGCATTGTGTTGTGTTATCCTGGTTATAGCAAATACTATCTGAGAAGGCCTCCTTTCCAACCAATGTGTTCTCCACTCTGCCTGCCCTCCCACTCCCTGTGACAGCCACCAGGCCACTTAGAGTGACAAAACATGGCTCACGTGTTGAAAGGGGGAAAAGCAATATTTGCTAAGCAATAGCTGTGGTTTTATTATTTTTTTTTAATTTTTAAAAAATGTTTATTTTTGAGAGAGCAAGCGGGGAGAGGCAGAGAAAGAGGGAGACACGGAATCAGAAGCAGGCTCCAGGCTCTGAGCACAGAGCCCGATGTGGGGTTCGAACCCACAAACCGTGAGATCATGACCTGAGTCGGTCAGACACTCTCAACTGACTGAGCCACCCAGGCGCCCCTATTTTTTTCTTTTCATTATTGTCTGTGTTTATCCCTCAGTTTCCTCCCTCTGCAGTGAAAGAGCAAGAAGGTGGGCTTCTGAGCCTCCCTGAATGGAGATCAGACCCTCAGCTTCATGCTGCCTGGGGCCTAACATAAATGATCCGCCTTCTGCCCCTCAGGCCCCACTTTGCTTCCCCTAAAATTGTTCTGGGGAGTGTGGGTGCTAATGAGAAGAACTCTCCTTTCCAGCTTCACCCTCCTCCAGTCCCCGCCAAGCCGGACCTCTCAAGTCCTGGGAGAGACCACCATGCAGCCGGTGGGCCCTGTGGGGCCAAGGGAAGGCAGTGTGCGTGTGCGCGTGTGTGGGTGCTATGGCCCTGCCCCTTCCCCCTTCCTTTACTGGGTTCAGCCACTTCTCAACAGGGGTCACCTTGAGCACAGCTAACCATGGAGTCACAGGTAACCATAGAAACCAAACAAGGTACTCAGTGATGGGGGTAGGAGTGGTGGATTAAAGGGCAGAAGGAGGATCCCTCTTCTTTGCCCCCTCAGACTGTCAACAGCACGACCTTTCCAGCTGGCTAAAAGCGCAAATGGCTCGGCATTGACCTTCACCTTTCAGGTGAAGCGTAGCAACCTTTTTCCTGGATACTTTCTACCAAAAGTGTTAGTCAATCAAGATGCACCCAGCTGGGCTATGGTTGTTAACCCAGACATTTGGGAGGCTTAACATAAGCGTTTATTTATTTACTTACTGATAAGAAGTTTATTCTGAGACAACCGCCTTCTGTGTGGTGACTGCATGATTCAGGTTGCTTCCATTTTGTATCCTTTCAACATGTAGACCCCACTATTGGTCCTTCACTGTGCCAGAGGAAGAGAGAGCCGGAGGGTTGTGCCCCAGCTCTTAAATGCTTTGACTCAGAAATTGCCCATTTTACTTCCACTCCATGCCCCCCGTCCCCCATTAGCCAGAGTAAGTCACATGCCCAACCTAACTTCAGGGGAGGCTAGGGGTGTTGTTTTCCTAGGAATCCAGAAAGAGGAAAATAAGATTTGATAAAAACATTATCTCCGTCACTCCAAAGATGCTTTAAAAAAAAAAAATTGAAGGCAGTAATTTGAGAGATGTATATGCACCCTCTTTGAGAATATCCTGTTGGTAGCTGGTGTTTTGTTTGTTTTAAGTAGGCTCTGCACCCAATGTGGGGCTTGAATTCACAACCCTGAGATCAAAAGTCACACCCCCCACTGACTTAGGCAGCCGAGGGGCCCTTCTGTTAGTACATGAAAAGCCTCTGATACTTTGTATTGAAATAAATACGAAACCCATCTTTAGTCCATCATTTCCCGTTTATTTGGTCATAGAACCTTTCTTCCTAAGTGTAATATTCCTTAGAACTGGTATTGTGAGGTGCAAACTTGTCCTAAATGAGTCAACGGTTGCCCTTGGTTTTCTTACCTTGTTTAACCACTCTCACGGCACCGGTGTCCGGAATACCACACAGGCCTGGCACTGGCTGAATCCCAATGAGCACAGTGCAGTGGCTTCATCCACAACACTGAGCAGGCCTGGGAAGGAGGAGGTGAATTTGGAGAGGCATGGTTGGGGAGGGCAGGGAAGAATGCCTTTTGGACTCACCTGCCAACCCTCTCAGAGGCCAAGTTCACTCCGGTGTGTCCTTCAGGCCCAGCCCCTCCTGTTTCTGGAAAGTGCTCCCTCCGCTACCTGCCATCTTTGAATATGGTTTCCCAGGGGCTGCCACGTTCTTACCAGTCCTGCTACCTCGGCCCACAGCCAATTGGCCCAGATACAAGCCCATCACTGGCTCTTTGGTCTTGGCAAAGGGTCTGGCAGGTCTCTCACTAAAGTGAAAGATGTAGGTTTTTGATCTTAAAGGAAATGTTGGTCTGCAGGGGGAGAGGAAAAAGGCGAATGTGTGATCAGGGCACAGGACACCCCAGTGGTGCCTGGTCCGGTGGGAAGGGCAGGTAGGTGGGGCTGTTAGTTGGCTCCCTTCACGAGCTCTCCTAGCTAAGGTGTGCATTCAGCACAAATGACAGAAGGGACAAATAATAGAGAGTACAAGCAGGTAGATGCCTTTGCTGATGAAATACTGTGGTGTGTATACACATTTACCTCATGAAATGTGTCGAACACTCAGAAAAAAGCACCCTTTCTCGCAGCCCTACATGGACTCAGCGTGCATGACAGCAAACCCTGCCTCAGTGGCCCAGAACCGTGGCCCTGGCCACGCCAGCACCTCAACCACCTGCTGGCCCCCCCCTCTCGAGGACCCGCACCTCTCTCACTGCTCTCAGAGCTAACGGTGTGAACTATTGTCTGCTGCCCTGGCCTGGGCCAGTTCAACATGTGGCCCCTGCGCTGGCTCAGCAGCTCTGTGGGGAATCCAAGAGCCGTCCGCACTGCTGCATCAGGTGGTCGGAGGCAGCGGGCAGGCGTCCACGGCATCCTGCAGCCCTCCCGCTCCCTGGGATTTGTCTACATCTAAGACCCAGAGCTTCGGAGGGAGGGTGTGTCCACGGTTCTCGGGGATGGTCTTGGTGCCCGGCTGAGGCCGGGGGGCGGGATGGTGGCGGGCAGAGCAGAAGGAGCCGATCCCAGTGCGTTGTGAGCGGTCCCTTCTCGTGATGCAAGAGAAAGAGGAGCCTCCTCCACTGTCACCAGATGCGATGAGGGGAGGAAAGGAGGAATCACGCTGGCAGCATTCTAAATTCCTGGGGCTCATTCCTTGGCGTTTGGGTAGATGGATTACGTGCCCCCGACGCGCTCAGATCATGGCTTTCCCAGCACTGTGCAGGCTGTCACTGCAGTGGCTTTAATCCCTTCATGGGCCAGCACCCCATTCCCTGCATATACACACCCCCCAAACTTGCCTTGGGGCATTTTGGTCCCAACTTGGCCAGCTTCCTGGAATTCAGCCCAAACCAACACTTTTGGGGACTCCATGCAGCGTTTCAAAGAGCCTTTTCCCGCAGCCTCCAATGAAGACGTCCCAGCCCCCTGGACCCTGCTGTGGACACCGGGGACAACTCCCCCACCCCCCCCACCCCGCCCCCTACCTGCTGAGTCAGCAGCTCACCTTCACCACCCAGATGTCACACCCAGGAAGACAGCTGGGAGGGAACCCTTGCCTGAGGGGGAGGGTCAAATCTTTAAGAAGATGAAGCCAACTTCCAGATCTAAAACTACCTTTATTTGTCGGTTGGCGCAACAGAAGACGCCGTCATGAATCAGCAGAATTATAAAACTGTACAGGAGGTACAAAAATAGGCTGTTTAACTTAATCACCCTCACGTGAAGCTTTAAAAATACACATAAAAATTGTACAATCTGGCAGTTTATAAAATATAAAGCTAAAAAGATTGTAGGTTCACAAAGAGGGATTCTATCACACAACGAACACATACCCATTAAACAACCGTCCACAGAGAAGACACAATGGCACAGAATTTTCTTAAAAAAAAAAATCACTTAAAAATGAAAATTTTTTACCCTGACCAAATCATTCACCCTTTAATGACAAAACTACCGTGAGGCGTCCATCCTGTGGAAGGATACAGTATAACTTTTCCAGTTTTGAAATGGTCATGGGTGTGTTGTCCAAAACAAATCTGATGTGCTTTAAAAGCAAGTGCAATTGTAACTGGGTATACTTCAGAGTAAAAATTAAATAAATATAAATAGGTTAAATAAATAGGTCATTGCAAAAAGAACACTATGTAAGGTCTGCATCTGAGAATGCCGCATGGTTGACTGGTAATGCTTTCTAGGTAAGTGGGGACTCCCCCGTCACAGCTTTTGGGATACTGAAAAGAAATACTGTACCCCGCCAAACACACACAGAGCACAGGGTGAGGCAAGTGGGTGGGGACTTTGGCCGGAAGCATTAAGGCCGCTCCAGTGGTGGGCTCGTTGCAGATGCTTTCTTTGTGGTTGTCCAATGAATACAGAAAGGTTTTCCGTGCTGATACAGGAAACAGGAAGCTGGGTTACTCATGGGAAATCACTGCTTCACAAAGGAAACAAAGTATGGGAAAAGGAGACACTTTGGTTTCAAAGATAATGGTCCAACCTCGGAAGGCAGAATGTGGGCCTGTCGGTGTGGGACACATGGTGACTTTCTTCTAGGAAAGGCCAATGCCAGGCCATACTCAACAGAAAGGACTGCTCCAGAATGGTGAAGGCACCAGCAAGGAAAAGACCCTGGCATATACAAAGAAGAGGGATTTCAGGAACCAAATGAGCAGAGAGAAAGCTAAAGGGAATTTAGAGAGGCTCTTTACAGGCGTGCTGTGTGCTTCCTCTTCTAGCTCTCAGGGCAAAGCAGTGGAGGTAGAGCCAGTCTACCTTCCGTGAGGACCTCACGGCTGAGGATCTACTGAACAGGGCTGGAGAATGAAAGCAATCTAGGGACACCAAAGCCTGGCCAGAGGGCAACTTCTGAAGAGACAGCGGCCAAAAGGAGAAAGACCTACAACCCAGAGGTGCCCCACATCTGCAAGAGGTCAGATGGGCAGCCAAGGTCATCCTTCACGGCAGTGAGGAAAACTGCAATGGTAAACAAGTCACATTACACAAAACCTTACCCAAAGTTGACTCTGAGATAAACACCTTTCTTCTAAAGTTGGTAGAAAGAAAATACTTTGCTGGACCCACTAACCTGCGGATCCTCCAATAGGTGTCACGGGTCAGAGTGAGGTCTCACTGGAAAGAGCCTAGGATGACTATGGAGATGGAGGGGGAGGGACAAGCTGCCGCACCCCGGCTTTTAGGGCAGCCACTAGATGATTTAGTGACTTACCAAGAACACCAATGATTCCCCAAAAGTGCAAGTGCTCTGAAACCTAGTGACGTGTGAGCTCTTTATACACTGAAGTCAAAAAGACTCAAGAAGCAACAGGAGAAATTCTGGCAGGTGCGCTAAAGATAGATTGGACGCAAGGTTCAACACAAGATTTAACAAAGGTGTCCCTGGGGTTCCTAACAGATGCGACTGAATTCTGCCGTAAAAAAGGAAAGTAGTGTACTTCTAAAAAGTTAAACAGCCTTTCAGAAATCATACTAAAGATCAAAGAGCTCAGCTGCTATGTGATGCTTAAGGCTGAAAAACCCTGTTCTAGCAAAAGACACCTTCCTGCTGCTCTGAGCACAACAGGAAACTAGAATTCTACAGATTAGAACAAAATATAGTGGATGATGCCCAAGGTGTTTCCGTGACAAGTGCCCATGTGAGGCCTCTTCAAACCACCCAAGGGACTGATGGGTGACCAGATTCTGCGAAGTGATGGACAGAAGGCCAACAGAGCGGACCTGACCAGATCCGATGGGTTCTGGGTCACGGGTGGCTTTAAGACCGAAGAAGTGTGTACAGCAAATGCATGCCCTTCCCCACCCCCTGGCTTTTTCAGTAGCACTGGTGCATACTTTCTGCTGTCTCTCTCACTCTATGCTCTTTAAAAAGCTCTGAAAACTCTTGCCTATCTTGTTTATCTCTGCATCCATGGCACCCAGGGTCCTGCCTGGCTCTCACAGCCACTACTCAAAATAAAATACATTGAATACAGGAGATTGAGAAAGGTGGGTGGTTAGAAATGAAGGTGATAAAGAGAAAAGGCATTTAAAAAACAGCCATCCTAGAGACAAGGTGGGCCCAGACAGGGACAGGACACAGACCCTGGGCAGCCAGAAGTGACCTGGCTACTCCCCCGAGGGCACCGTTCAGCCACGAGACCGAGGCAGGCCAGCTCCCGGCAGCACAGAGAGCCGACGGCCCCATCTGCCACTGCGGCACCTTCTCTGCCTGACCGCCTGACGGACCATCGCTACTCAGGCCCGGCTGTGAAGAGACCGACCACAGAGCCGTAACGACAACGGTGTGGGTGCATCAGAGCAGGGAGAAGAGAGGCGTCTGGCTGTGTTCCTCAAAAACAGGTGGTGTGGCAGAAGATGCCACGATGCCAACCAAAACGCCAGGGTTCCAAGGTATAAATGAGGTAAGTGATAAGGTTTAAAGACGCAGGATAATGCCAAGTTAAGAAAAAAAGTGACTTCAGGCATTATGAAAGGCAGGGAACTGAATTCTACGAAGGCAGAAGGCCCCCATACAAATCCACCGTCAGCAAGCACGTCACAGAAGCAGCAGTGAGGTCTCAGTCAGTCAGCGCACCCTTGCTCCTGAGTGCAGTCTCCGAGCTCGCCAGCACTGAATGAAGGGTGATGATCCGCTCACCCGGCTGGACAAAGGACCCAGGAGACATCTCCTTATTTCGTACCCTGATCACACGTAACTGCTAAGGCTCTCGGTAGAGAGAAGACAGAAGAATTTTTGACTGAAGCTAAAGTTAAAAATTAAACTAGTTTTAGCAAAAAAGATGGTACTGACATAATTCAGAGAATATCACGGCAAAGCGGTTAATGGACGTATACAGCCTTGCTATAACGTGCTACTTTTCAGCATCAGAGCATGTTCTGAACGTGAACGCTCTTTCTGGAGGGGATGGAGACTTTTGGTGCCACACAAAATAGAAAGTGTACTATATAGATCTTGCTTTTAGCTTCTTCACAAGTAAACTTCAGGTTCAGCTCACCTATGCTAATGCAGCATTCATTCTACAGTATGATCAAAAAAGAAAGTTATTAAAATCTGCCAGGAGAAACGTAAAAACCTGCCCACGAAGCACGTGGTGACCTGGCCTCAGCTCCACTCCCCTGGCCCGTCCTGCTGGCTCCAGGGGTGGGCGAGCCTCCCTGCCCACCTGCTGGCCCAGGGCTCTCCCAGGTGGCTGAGAGGGTCCCATTTGGCCTGCTCCTGCCTGAGTGCTGCTCTTTGTGACAGGGAACTTACCACCTCTTGCCCCCAAATGCTCCTAAGCAGCCCCCCAAATCCACCAGAGGCCACCAGGGCACTGGGTTATAGTGGACTCGGGACAGAGTGTGTCTTCTTTTCTAAGAGCTCTGCAGACATGGCCTCAGCTTCCAGTGTGTGGTGCTGACCCGGCCCCATGTCGTGCCCCACACTCCAGACTCTCGTCGCCCCCAGGGAACACTGGTTATAGTGACCTGGGAGTTCTTTGGGCACATTCAAGAGTGAGGCATCTCCGATCCCTGCGAACGACACCGTCTAAACGTCTTCCTCCACCTTAGCGCCGCTCACCTTGGAGCCCCACTCCGAGCAGAGGCTGCACTGAGTGTGCCTCAGCCTAGCTGGTCGAGGAGAGAGATACTCCTGGTCCTGCACGTAGGCAAAACGTAAGACTCCCTCCTCTTTCTTCCTCACAGGCCGATATCAAACAGGAAGTTTAAAAAGAAGTACGAGTCTGAAGCACGTGTGTCCACGAGAAGGTGGAGGAGGCCTCTTTCACTGCCTCTGGGACGGGCCCGCCTTGGCAGAGGACCTCCGAACGAAAAGCCTTCATGGCCAATAGCTTCCCAGCATCCTACAGGTCAAAGGAGGTCACGTTCCCCACCTCCTGGGGTGAGCATCATCTTCTGCTGGCTGCAGAACGGACAGCTCAAGGCACTTGGTTTGGCAGCCTGGTCTCCTTGCTAAGCCGGGAGGCATCAGGCTCGGACTTGTAGGGACCAGGCCCTCCGTCACAGCTGGGGCCGCCAGAACGGAGGCCACCCTGGCTCAAAGGGTGTCTGGAGTCACTGGGGGCCGGAGCTCTGGGGGCTCGTGGAAATAGTAGGGCTGGAAGAGCCTCTCGTGGCTGCAGGGCTCCATGGCCCGGTAGGTGTGGGAGAGGAGATGGGGGAAGCGTGATGTGAAGTAGCGCACAAAGTCGTCAGGGAGAGAGCCCAGCGTCTCCCGCACCTCTGCGGGGAGCTCCCGGTAGTGGTGCTTCTGCAAACAGGGCGGACACACAGACACAGCGGTTAGCAGCTGGGAAGCCCAGGAAACACTGGCAAAAGATCCTCTGACTATTCAAGGAAGACCGAATGTTAGTTGGGTTTTCTGAAAGGAGAAAAGGCTTATGGACCCAGCAGTCCATCTGTTTATCTTACCTGCTTCCCCTCACTCAGGAGTAAGCCTCACAGCTGGGCCGGGCCCAGCGCTGGGGGGTGGGGGTGGGGGGCAGGAGGGAGCTTCCCTACCAGAGTGGCCCTCGGGCCAGGCCTGTGTGGGAAGGTCCCATTAAGGGAGTTTATACGGTGCCTATCAGGCAGGCACAGGGCATACAAGTCAGCAGAGACCACAGGCGACGGCCGCATCAGAGAGCCTGCTTCCCAGCGCGGAACTCCTCACCTCAACATCCCTGAAGGGAAAACCCATCTAAGGGAACAAAGAGCCTCTGCGAGCTCAGAATTCTAGTATGAATGGAAGGACCCAGAGGCCAGAAAGGAGGAGGAAGGTGGTCATACCCCAGTCGCTGGTCTCATCTGGGGTTCACTCCCCCTTACCTTGTTTCTCATGGCTCGGAGAAGGTCTCGCACGGAGCCACCTTTATAGGTTCTGAATTTACGCAGATCTAGGAAAAAGAAAAAACAAGGACTACAATGTAACAGACACTTTTCCAAAGAAAAGGATTCTTGGCATTCCCGGGGTTTAAGTGATCAGACTGAGACATGACATAACTACGCCACGCTCGTGGCTGACAGGAGCGTGTCCCCCACAGTGAACCCGAGGGCAGTCAGTCTGAATTCTGCCACCTGGCTGCATCCACAACCAGGAATAAGCAGTGAGTGAGGGCAGGGCACCCATTACTCACCTGTCACCCTAAGGGACGAACATGAAAGCCACATCAGCATAAAGGTCTGATTTGTGCCCAAATCCCAGAGGACACACCCACAAAAGCCTCAACCCCGTGGAGGGGGTTTGGAGCCCAAACACCCTGGAGCCGTCATTTCCAAGTTCACTTCCTAGAAATGGCTGCTGCTCTTGAAACATGTCTGCCAACGTTTGCCGCCAGGGCATGGTCACCTGTCTGCAGGGGGACGGTAATGTTCTCTCTCCAGTCCGTCTTCACCACGGCTCTCCCGCCTCGCTCCAGCTGCTTCACTATCGGGCCGTCCAGGGATTCCTTTTCTATCCGGTCACTCACGTCCTATGAGGGTGACAAGGGCAACAGGCGACGGTCAGTGTGCAGAGAAGCAGCAGCTGGAGGCGTGACGCACCGGGCCACGGAATGAATGGTCACTGCCACACGAGCTGCAGGCCCAGACTGAAGTCTGCCTCAGAACTGGCAGCAAGTGTCCTGTGTCTGTCTCCTCACGATCCGTTCGCTTCGCCCCTGTGAGCAGCCGTGTCTGGGGTTCACTGAGGAGGACCCACGCGGACATCTCCACGACAGAGACATGTCACACCTCTTCACGAACCCTAACGCCTCGCCCACGTGTCACCCGTGTGCCCATGCGTGACGTTCCACACAGAGCCCTATGTGCACTCTATGTTCATTGACAGTCACCACCACCACCACCACCACCACCACCACCACCACCGCTCAATTCTGATTTGCATCTTGAACTTTTCTGCCCACCCAGGGAAACAGGATGGGCTCAAATCCAGGACTGGTCATCAGTCCTCAGGCAAACAATTAGAAAAGATGGACGGGGCCCTCCTATAGAGACAGAGGGCTGCAGACAAGAGTGTGGGCTGCACAGGCCCTGCCCCGTGTCTGAGGGACACAGCCTGGACGCGAGCCCCAACAGTCGAGGAAATGGAGCGACGAGCCCACCGCGGTAACGCCGCCCAGCCTCACTGGCCACAGTCTTTTCTTTCTCTGATAAAGATGAAGCCGGACTGGCCGACTCTCTGACTTGTAACTGGCAGGGGCAAGCCCGGGAGGGACTGACTGCTGCCAAGCCGCTACAGCTGGGGGGTACACAGGAGGCCCAGGACTTGGAAAAACTTAAGAGTTTAAATTCTAACCCATGGAGGGGTGGAGGTCCCTTTGTGTGAGCTTTATTCCTGCTCTACATCTTGTTATCATCAATGGAACCTGCCTAGTTTTTAGAAGTCCCTGGAAGACAAGTGACCTCAGAACTTTAAGGTTATGACCTCTGCAACACAGAACAAGCCTGATGTTAGCCACACCCACTGCTGCCATGGCAAAGGGCATGAAACCCTCCCCTTCCCAATCCATCCCAACAGTGACTGAGCATCTGCCATGTGCCAGGAGGCGTCCCGGGCAGTGGGCACAGAGCAGTGAGCCCAGAAATCAACTACGCCTGCCTTCAAGGAGCATGTAAATGTTGCGGGTTGCATCAGAACCAAAGCTCTAGTCAGACCCCAGGACACGTTGATGGTCACTCCTAAACCCAAGCTCCCCTCGGACCAGGCCCAGGAGGAAAAGCACTGCCCCCTGCCCGTAAGCCTGCTTCTCTGAGCTGGTGTGCTGGGTCGGCTGTGTCTGGATGAGCCATGCTGATCTGACTCCAGAAGACTCTGTGAGAAACACATTACCTTTCCGGTAATGTGCCACCGGCAGGCAATACCACAAAGCCTTCACACCACCAAACCACCGAAGGGGCTCACAGCTACTGGCCTATGATTTAACATCTCAGAATCCACCTTAAGCAAAGAGAGATCTGTGCAAGGACTGAGTGAAAAAGGATGAAAAGAACTCAATGTAAGTAAACATTTAGATTTATGAGACTTGACTGAAACATGATGCCTACGATTTGCTTCAAAGTAATCTGGTGGAGAGAGAACAGAGGTTCAGTTAGTCATTGCTGGAGATGGCTGATGGGTAGATGGGAGTTCATTATAGCATACCCTCTACTTTTGTGCATATTTGAAAGTTCCCAGAATATAACCTATGACAGAGTAGCAGAGTCGTTAAAATTTTAGAACTTTAACATGTAAGAAGACTATGTTAAAATACTACTTTAAATACCATATTAATATACTACTAACACTGTAATAAAATACTATATTAAATTATGTGCATAAAAAAAGATACCAAATTGTATATATGGTTTGAGCCTAATCACATTTTTATCTATATGAAAAAATATGTTAAAATGTCAACCACAGTTATCTCTTGGTTCTGAGATTGCAAGTCATTTGTTTTATTTTATTTATTTATTTTGTCTTTTGCTATATTTTCAAAATCTGGAAGACGTTAACTGAAGACTTTTGATAACCAACCAGCCAGAACAAGAGACCTACCTGGAAGAACTGGAGCTGCTTTTCCAGGCCCCAGAAGAACGGGTGCTTCAGCACGTGCTTCGCAGATGGGCGTTTCTGAGGGTCCATTGCAATCATCTTCTCGATTAACTCCCGGGCAATGACGTCTTCTGCATGGGAGGAAAATGAACAAGCAACTGATTATCACCAGCCCATAGTCACAATGAAATACTCAAACCTTAATGGTGCACGTGCCCTGCGATTTAAGATTCTACCGACATAACCTCACTCCAATAGTGTTAAGAACTTGCAGGGGCGCCTGGGTGGCTTAGTCGGTTAAGCGTCTGACTTTCGCTTAGGTCATGATCTCGCGGTTCGTGGGTTCGAGCCCCGCGTCGGGCTCTGTGCTGACTGCCAGCTCAGAGCCTGGAGCCTGTTTCAGTCTGTGACTCCCTCTCTCTCTGGCCCTCCCCTGCTCACGCTGTCTCTCTCTCTCCTAGAAATAAAAAAAAAAAAAAAAAAAAAAAAAAAAAAAGAACTTGCACAAACTTCAGCTGGTAAAGAGGAGTCCTCACCGCACAGTCTGTGAAAAGGAGTAACTGGAAATCCCTACTGTCAGAGGCTTCAGTCACGCTGCCTCCATGTCCTGGGCTGTGCTATTAGAATGATGTACTGGTGAGGGGCGCCTGGGGGGCTCAGTCAGTTGGGTGTCTGACTTGGGCTCAGGTCATGATCTCATGGTTCATGGGTTTGAGCCCCGTGTCAGGTTTGCTGCTGTCAGCGCAGAGCCCACTTTGGATCCTCTGTCCACCTCTCTGTGACTCCCCTCCAACTCGTGCTCTGTCTCTCAAAAATGAATGAACATTAAAAAAACACGAGGGGTGCCTGGGTGGCTCGGTCAGTTGATCGTCTGACTTCATTCAGCTCAGGTCACGATCTCACAGTTCATGAGTTCAAGCCCCGCATCAGGTTCTGGGCTGACAGCCTGCTTTGGATTCTCTGTCTCCCGGTCTCTCTCAAAAATAAATAAAAACTTAAAAAAAAATGATGCCCTGGTGGAATACCTATCAACTTGGAGTATCTCTTCAAGATGATGTTAAAAAACAAGCATGCTAAAAAACATGTTTTAAATTTTTAAAAAAGTGGCACTGGGTGTCACCAGCCAATTTTAACACAGGAAATGCTGAAGTCAGAAAGAAAGATCTATCACCCCTGCAACCGGAAAGCTAGACCCAGCTGTCTGCCCCCAGCCCAGCCACACCCACGGATCGCGGCCTGCACTTGGGAGTTTACGGAGTACGGACGGCTATCCTAACTGTCGGTGCAGGAAGAGACCTCAAACTATTTAACACTCACGAGCCACAAGCTGGAAAACAGAGGTCTTTGCCCAGGTCACATAGGTAACTGGGGGACCTGAAGGAACCTCAGAGCTGCTTGCCTTTAGGAGGACATGCTCCAGGGGCACCTGGGTGGCTCAGTCGGTTAGGCGTCTGACTTGGCTCAGATCAATCACAGTTTATGAGTTCGAGCCCCGCATCAGGCTCTGTGCTGACAGCTCAGAGCCTGGAGCCTGCTTCAGATTCTGTGTCTCCCCCTCTCTCTGCCCCTCCCCTGCTCACACTGTCTCTCTCTGTCTCTCAATAATAAATAAACATTTAAAAAAAAAAAGGAGGACACGTTCCAAAGACAACCCAACCTTCTACCAGCTTTGGAGCTGCTGATTCACTGAGGCCCAGAGGACAAGCAGTCAGAAGGAAAGGTCTCTAGAAGCACAGCGCCAGCGCCCTCCCAGGCCATGGGGACCACCTGGGCAGCCAGGACGGCTCCTGACCCGCCTGCTCACCATGCTTCTCCGGATGTAAGCAGTCGAGGCTGTAGGCGCCCAGGAGGATGTTGGCTTGCCGCTGCAGGGACTTGCCGAAAGGGTGACTGCCCTCAGATATCACATAGTAAAAGACACAGCCGGCAGAGAAGATGTCCACTGTGTAGGTCTGAAAAGAGATGCAGGGTGTGAGAGGCCTTCTGGAAAACTCTCATCCTCACTGAGTAGCAGTGAGAACAGGAGTATGGCTGCTGCTTCTACCACCTTGAAGGGTCCCGGGTGACTCGAACAGCATGCCTGAAGTGCCCAGAGCAGTGCTGGCTCCCGCAGGGGCCATGTGAGTGTCGGTGATTGCAGTGGGCAACGTGGGGTCTAGAGCCGACGGGCTGGGGTTGGAAGTGATTGAAAAGTAGGGGGGAAAAACAGACAATTGCCACATTTGCCCCTTTCATTCATCTGAACATAAGATCACATGGAAAATGCCAGCAGCATGCTATTCACACAGAAGCTCTTGATAAAGAAATGTCACACTCCAGCTATGTGCGCCACAGCCCCCAAGTCTTGGATGCGGAGGCTCTCATCCCCGAAGATACGAGAGGCTGGCAGTGTTCCCCAGAACTATGCCCACTACTCACGGGATTGTCCTTACAGTCTTCGCTCAGCATCTCTGGAGCGATCCAGCCTTCTGTGCCAGGCACCCCCGAGCGGCGGCTGAAACTGTGCCTGCCCACCGCCAGCTTCTTGCAGAGGCCAAAGTCAGAGATCATGGCCTTGATCCTGCCATGTGCGTTGGGCATGGACAGGAGAATGTTGTGGGGCTTCAGGTCTCTGTGAACTAATACAAAACTCCAGATCAGTCGGAGATTACCACTAGTAACGTCAGGCCGCCTCCTGCAGTGGGGAGGGCATTCTCAGACTCCCAGCCGACTCGCTGTACCTCTAAACGTTTTCTGGTTTGCAGCTGCAAAAGATTCTGCCTCAAATCCTTATTGTCAAAAGGCCACCTAAAACCCCCACAGGCACACCAGCGATGAAACCGAGAATCTCAGCAGGGGCAAGGACCACCCCAGCAAGGGAGCCCCTCGCCGGGCTGCGGCCTGGTAAATAAAGGGAAGCTTCTCACCGATGTTGAGGGAGTGCAGATGGGCCAGGCCCGAGGTGGTCTGCTGCAGCAAGGTGATGGGCTCCAGGCCGAGGTGGGCAAAGTCCTTTTGCTCCACGTACTGCAAGAGACACACGACAGCCAGGTCACGCACACAGCCCTTGGGGACGGGCCCCTCCACACAGCACTGTTTTTCTCTAAGTGATTCCATTTTATTCAGCAAAGTCGAGCCTGCAGCTTTTTGGCTTAATTAATGCTCGGGATTAGGTCGGCTCATTTTCTCTAATCCTGTTTTAAGAAAGAAACAGGAAGTGAAACTGACAACGCTCTGTCCAAATCCACGTCTGCCCACAGACTTTCCCTGGCAGCCACAGGCTAACATAAACAAAAGTTCCAGCTGACTCGTGTACGGTGAGAAAGGCAAGAGGGTGCGGAACTCAAGTTCACTGCCTCATACAGGCAAACCTGCAAGTGAAGCGGACGGATACAGACATAGTGTCACGTGAACCTGGAGGCTGAGCAAAAGGAGTCCTCTGGATGGTCTCCACGACCTGAGTCCTCAACCAGCACCCTCCACGCCCGGAACAGCCCTAACCGATGGGGAGAAATGCCAGGTTTCTTGGAGGCAGAGGGAGAGAGATACTAACGGCAACCAAAGACCATCCCACTGAAGCTGAGGTGATAAGAATACTCTCCATCAGCGTTCTTTGTGGTTAAAGGGCTGTGCGCCCCGTCACGTGCCCCAAACCATTCATCTACGTGAGTGTGTCATATTATAACTTGAGTAAAGTGAATACAGAGAAATAAAGGGAAAAGAAGTCACAGTCCCTCAAGCCGCTGCCGGGAGCAGGGAGGCCGCAGGGCCGAAGGCAAAGCGCCCCGGGCACCCACCTCCTGCAGCGTGGCCGCACACAGCTCGATGGCAATGTACTGGAACTGCCGGTCCCTCTCCGTGCAGAAGTAACGAATCACATTGGGGTGCTCGTCTGATTCTCGAAGCAGCTGGACCTCACGGTCCGCGAAACTAAAACACTCAGGGAGGATCCTCTTGACGGCCACGTCGCGGTTGTCAAACATGCCCCTGAGGACGAGGATCACAGGTTGGAGGGGCGAGCCAGGCTGCGGAGACGAGAGGCCCACAGACCCACAGTGCTCCTTCTCCCGCGATGCGGCAGCCACCCCGGGAGCCTCGCAGCCCTGACTGACCACCAGGTGGCCACCGCTTCCTCCCTGGATGTGAAGTCCTCCATCTCGGCCACCACTGTGACCCTGCGGCACCCCCAGGGCCTGGCATGGCAGCTGCAAGCCGGCAGGCACTCGGACGTGAGGGGAGGTCACAGAGCTCTCAATCCACTCACCGGTACACAATCGTGCCTTCCGCTCCATGGCCCAGCACGTCCTTGGGACAGAATGAGATCTTCCCAACGATCACCATGCTGGTTTCCTCATCTGGGACAAAACAGGAAAAAGTTGTTTTAAACAAACAATATAGCCTAAAACACCTTGAAACTAGAATGGTTCTGCTTCCTGAGCCCAGATTCAGAGATGGGATCTCACAGGCTCTATGTTCCCAACCCCTGGTAAGCAAGTGCGGGCAGGGCCCACTCCCCACTGAGGCCCAGGGCCACCGCCTCCCCAGCCTCCTGCCCTTTATTCCTGCCTTTACATTATTGTCAGAAGGCTGGGATTCTCCACAGATCCACCTACGATTTGAGCCTGAAGCCTCCAGAGAGTGGATGTGCACTGAAGAGACCAGGGGTGGCCTCCAGCTCGACTGGGGCTCAGGTCTCTTGCACTAGCTCTATAGCCATCCCCTCAGAACATCAGCCCTGACAACTGGCCGGAGCCCACCTCCCAGAGGAACCAGGATCAACAGCTACACTTGGCCGCTGACTTGCCGCAGGAACTCTTCCAAGCCAGACGCCCAGTGCGCCTCTGGTGAGCAGCAAACGGCAGCCCTTATGGAGCAAGATGGGGGGACCCAGTGGGTAGACCCGGTGGAAGACAAGGTAGTCCCCAGAAGGTCCCCTGAGTGGGAGAGGCTTGGATGGCATGGCAGCCTGGTCCCCAGAGTGAGAGGGAAGTAGGTGAGAACATGGTGAGCCCTCTGAAACAGCACTTCACAGTCCCACAGAGACGCTCCAGAAGGACGTGCTTCTCAAGTTGTGTTCACATGAAAGAGGAAACAGTACCAAAATGGCGACTCGCTTTACCCTCATCGTCCTGCTCCAGGAAGGGGCTGGTGCCAGCCCTGGAGGCAGAGCCACTGGAGTGGAGCGAGTGGTTGGAGGCTCTGGGGGATGTGCTGGGGCTGCTGGTGCCCGAGCTCTCCGAGTACAGGCCGGAGGAGTCCAGAAGCTCGGCATCTGGAGCCACGTCTCCAGGGGGATGGAAGGGCAGCTGCTGCTGTTGCAGGAGCTGGATTTTCTCCAGTTCCTTCTGGAACTGCTGGTGCTGGAGCTGCTGCTGCTGATGCATGCTCTGGGGAGAGAAATACACATCCAGACACGTGTGGCCTGCTCCCGGGGGACACAGACAGGCTGGAAGGGCAAGGCTCCCTGTGGGAGAGGGAGCGGATGCCCTGCCTACGGGGGTGGGGTGGGGGGAGGCGGGTGGAACCAGTGAGAACAGTGAGAAGGCACAGGAGGAGGGATCGGGGAAGACTGGAAGCTTGTGGCCAGTTAGGACTTCCCAGGACAGCCCACGCCCCCTGCTGGAGGGGGCCGGCAGGCGCAGGAGGGAGGACTCCGCTGCAGGTGGAGGCTGGGCTAGACGAAAGGAGCTCCATTTAATTCTAAAATTCTAGGATTATGGACTATTCTCGGACTTCTGTGGAAGTCTGGGAGTTGTTACAAAAATGAAACCAAGGAGGAAGAATGGTTACACCGGGTAGCTCGGAGCATGGCGGATACAGGCAGCCCCGGGCTTGCTGTCCACTACGGCTGTGCCCTTGGCAGAGGCGGGTGCACAGACGGCCACCGATCCAGACGGGCAGAGGCAGCAGGTGGGGCTCGGAACCTCACAGCCATCTTCCCACAGCCACATAGCTAGGATGGGGCTAAAAACATGGGCGTGGCCAAGGCCCTGCTCCAGCCCCATTTCATCACGCTGCTTTCCCCACACCCCGTACTCTCCTCTCTATTCGGAGAAATTCTTCGTCATAATTTGAAGTAGCAGTGAGCTGTGACTGTACTGTGTGGGAAGGGGACTGAAGGGACGGGTGTGTAGCCAACAACCCCTGGGAGTTTTCTGGTTCTCGCGTACACTCCCCTATACTCTCTCTGAACTTGGGATCAAATCCTGGAAATGCCATCTACCGCTGAGGAACCCTGGGAAAGTTATTTAACTTCCCAGAGCCTGGCTTCTTCATTTGAGGGCAGGGCAGAGTGATAATGACCTCACGGGACTGTGTGAGGTAAAACTTAAAACAATGCAGGTGGAGTGGACCCATCTGCACAAAGGGAAGGGTTTGTCATCCCCATTCCTGTGGGGACACGAGCTTCCCCGGGCACTAGCATTCTAACATGATGACACTTCAAGGCTCTGAGCAACTCCATAAAGGAATATTCTTCTAGAAGGTTTTATCCAACCCACAACCTATTCAACTATGTAAATTTAGCTCACTCACTTCCCACTGGAAAGCGGAAGGGATGCCGCCTTTTTCACTCATCCTGGTGTCTCTAACGGGGGTAGGAAAGTTAAGTGGATTTTCATCTATTATGACTGTTCTTAAAAAGGAAATAGTTAGGGGCACCTGGGTGGCTCAGCTGGTTAAGCGTCTGACTTCCGCTCAGGTCTCGATCTCATGGTCCATGAGTTCGAGCCCCCAGTCAGGCTCTTGTGCTAACAGCTCAGAGCCTGCAGCCTGCTTCGGATTCAGTGTCTCCCTCTCTCTCTCCCTCCTCCCTCACACTCTGTCTCTATCAAAAATAAATAAACATTTAAAAAAAAAAAAAAGGGAAACAATTAACTCTTCAAAGCGATCTGCAAGCAGGGCACCTGGGTGGCTCAGTTGGTTAAGCATCCAACTCTTGGTTTTGGCTCCGGTCAGGATCTCACGGTTTCGGGAGTTTGAGCCCCGTGTTGGGCTCTGTGCTCAGAGCATGGAGCCTGCTTGGGATTCTTTCTCTCTCCCTCTCTCTCTGCCTCTCTCCTGCTTGTGCTGTCTCTGTGTCTCTCAAAAATAAATAAAAACACTTTAAGAAGGACTTCCTTCTCTTAAAAAAAAACCAAAATAAAACCAAAACAAAAAAACCTCCTAAATGATCTGCAAGCAAGGTTTACAAATCAGCTTTTATAATCAGTTAACTCTAAGACATAGGCAAAAAAAATTTCCTGAGAAGGTAGTGTCTCTTTAATTATAATGTTTCTGAAGAGAAGCAAATAGTGACTCTTAAATGTGAAAGGAAATGTGTCTGCTTGTCAGGGACATCAGGTGACCAGCACAGTTCAAAAGCATATGGGAGGGCAAAGGGAAGGGGCCGAGCTTTACCAAGGGGTAGGTAATGATGAAGGCCACCCAGCCGATGAGCAGGAAGGTGCTCAGGATGATGGTGGCTATATCCTTGAGCACAGAGTCCACGGGGGCCTCGGGCTTGGCAGGGGCGTGCTCGAACTTCTCCTCCACATCCTGTGAAACGGCGGTGGGCGCGTTTTCTGAAGTCTGCTCAACCAGGTTGATAACCTTGTGTGAGACAGAGTGACTACATCACTGCAAAATTTCTAGGCAGATACAAATGAGCTGAACAGTCAAGAGTAGCCATGACTATTTACCACGAATGACTGCACCGTAAAATGTGTTTTCCTTTTTTTTTTAAGCTCATCAAAGATCACAAAGCCAAACAATTGCTGTCTTTATCAAAGTGACTGCCTTGAGAGGCCTTGATTCATTGTGCTGATGGTATCAGTACACAGAAAAAGTTCTAAGGGCAGTTGGGGAAGTGCCTTCAGATCCTATATTCTTTTGAAAATCCTTACTGAAGGAAAAGACTTCCTCCTTCAATGGTAGATTCGCTATTTGGGAAAACTCTGAAATCATCTGTCACAAAGTCTGGTAAAAATGTTGGTAGTCATTAACACCATGTCACATTAAAAAGGAAAACCCGGAGGCACCTGGGTGGCTCAGTGGATTAAGAGTCCGACACTTGATTTCGGCTCAAGTCATGACCTCGCAGTTTGTGGGATGGAGCCCCGTGTTAGGCTCTGCACTGAAGTTTTCGCAGAGCCTTCTTGGGACTCTCTGTCTCCCTCTCTCTCTGCTCCTCTTCCACTCATGGGCACACATGCGCTCTTTCTCTCAAAGTAAATAAATAAAGTTAAAAAATAAAAAGGAAAACAATGTGTGTGTGCACACGCGGCTTAAGAGTAATGAAGTGGCTTGATTCTGTGGCTTGTAAACTTTTGGTGCAACTCCAAAAACAAAATCATTTTTCCAAGTATTCTGCTCTTTTTCAAAGTCTCAAAAAAGCATCAGAATTTTTTGTTAAAGAAACTTACTTGGAAGCCTAGAATTAAGTCAGATAAAAGTAGACCTTCTGTCTGAGCTTCTTGGCGTCTCTGGGACTTCAATTCATTTTCGAACATCTAGTGTTCCCGGAGTGCCATTACTCCTTGTCCAACGAAGTGACAAGCATGGCCCCTGGGCAAGGGCAGGGTTGGGCATCCCCCCCAACTGCCCCAACCCCATCACCCACCTCTCTCCATCTGGGCTCCTGCCTATGGCTCTCTCCCTGTCCCCGCCCCCACCCCCACAGTGCATGGGGCAGGGTGGGACAGCTGGTGTGGGGCAGGCAGCTGAGGGATATCTGCTGAGCACGTGACCAGGAGCAACACTCCTTTGGTTAGATTCTGTTCAAATCCGTTTGTTAAAGAAGCTGTCTTATTGCCACATAAATGTACCTCAGAGTATTTTAATGGAGTTTCAGAAAACTCTGTTCAAGTTTGGATGCTTATTAAAATCTTAACTGTGGCTATCTCTGGGTGTTATATTAAAGGTACTGTCCTCTTTTCTTCGCTGTACTTTTATTTTCTAAGCGTTCCATGATGGATATGAGTGACTTTAATAAGATCAAAATCAGATCAAGACTTTAGGGCACCAATGCTTTCCAAAATCACTGTCTTAGGATTCAATGTATTTCTCCAATTGGCTACCTCTAGAGATGACAGGCAACTCAAGATATTTCACTCTAGAATCTTAAACAGTAGCATGATTTTCCTTCCTTTCTCTCTGGATAAAATCTGGACCCCTCCAGTGAACTTGCCATGATCATGGTACCCCCACAAGCCAGCCCCTCTTGTCTACCTTGGACCTTGCCCGTACTCCAGGCCCCTTCTCAGGCCTGGGGTCCCCATGGCAGGGATGCTGGACTTGCCAAGTCCAAATGGACCTTCAGACCCACCTCCTACCCCACTGGCCACGCTGGAACCTCACCTGCAGGGCCACCCTCCCGCCTTCTCCACCTGCTCTGTGCCACCGGGGGCACGGCAGTGGCTTCCCAGCCCTCTGGTTTCTGACTGGGACACCAGCAGATGGGGTGGAGGGAGAGAACGAGGTCAAATACTGTGAAGTTGCTCAACATGGAAACTGAAGCTTTAGGCTCCTGGCCTGGGGCCCTTTGCACTCCCTCCCCCCAACTTCAGGCTAAAAGATGCTAAGAGAAGCCCCGGGACTGTCCACATAGTCACCATAATAAAGTGGATAATCCCTTTATTACACTTCTCTCTGATCATCCTAACCGGAGTAGCCATCACTGTCCAGCCGAGACCCTGACTGGCACCTTGTCTTCCCAGGGTTACAGGAGGCAGCTCAAGTCAGAGGCTCGCGGCAGCTACCGCCTGGGTGGGCTTCCCTGCTGCCCAAAGCTCCGTTCTGTGGGCACCCGGGGTCCCCGCCAGACCAAGCAGACAAGCAGGCCGCTTCCAAAGGGCCGCTCCTGGCGCCGTGAAGCTTCAGGCCTCCCACCTCCTCTCTTCATCAACCCTTTGCTCCATTGCCACGTGCCAGCAAAGCCTGGTAACGTAGTTCCTCTGTAGAACGTGGTCCCACTTCCCACCGCTCCCCACCTGCTGGCCTCGGAGTGGAGCTCGGCCCCAGAGGTGCCCAGACAAGGTTAGTCCCACCTCCCCGCCCTCACCTCTGCTGCTCTCTTCCTCCAGGGCCCTCTGCCTCTCCCCCTTCAGGCCAGACCTCTCCCCTGTCCCTCTGCCCTTCTAGCAGCCTCCACTAAGCTCTTCTCCCTCCCCCCAGCAGTCAGTCACGTCACGCGGAGATGTGTGCCATGGGTTCCAGAGCATTCCTCTCCCCTCCTGAGTCCACTGCAAGCTCTGAAGACAAGGGCAAATTCCTCAGCCCCCAACACCTGACAGGAGGAGCCAGGAACGAACCGTTTACCCCGCCACTCACTTCCTCAAAGCTCTTCTTCTCTGAATCAGCAGGAATCACGTTTTCCCGATGTTTGGGCAGATTATTGGGGAATCTCTCCAGCATCTTGGTAGACGCAGACAGGGGGGTTTCATGGTGTCCTAGGAGAGGAAACAAGCCTTCCATGAGAGCAGCCCCCCCTCACCCCGACATGGTGAAAGCCCTCCACACTAAGCTTAGGCGACAGTGGCTCCCCACCGAGGGGCCCACAGCGCAAACACCCATATTTGTAAAGTGAGAGAACATGACAGGCAATTAACAGAAAAATCTCATCAAGACAGGAATTTTACTAATCAGTGGCACATATACAGTATTCTGAATCTCATAATGAGGGACAAAGAAGTGTCTTTGTCATGAGGGGAAGCAGGATCTTTGGGATATGTTCAGAGCAAGATTTGTGTGGGTAAGTCCTAATTTAGGCTGCATGCTGCCCAAGCGTCATGAAGCTTCATTAAAAATTCAAGCAGTTCTGGGGCACCTGGGTGGCTTAGTCGGTTAAGCATCCGACTTTCGCTTAGGTCATGATCTCGCGGTTTGTGGGTTCGAGCCCCGCGTCGGGCTCTGTGCTGACTGCCAGCTCAGAGCCTGGAGCCTATTTCAGAGTCTGGATCTCCCTCTTCTCTGACCCTCCCCTGCTCATGCTGTCTCTCTCTCTCTCCCCTAGAAATAAAAAAAAAACAAACAAAAAAACAAGCAGTTCTGCCCAGTTACCTTGTAACACCCCTCTACTAAGGGTTTCTCGTCCGCCCTTGAGATTTAAATTGCTCAGGTAGAGTTCTATTCTGATTATTTAAATACAGGCTTCCATCCTGGGAAGTGAATTGTGCATAAAAGAGAAACAGGTCGTATTTGCTAGGGGAGCAGAGGATCAAGGTTCTCTCAGCATTCATTCTCTGTTCTCCACACTATGTGAAGACTACCCAGCACATAATACACCCTGACTAAGCACCTACTGTGTGCATACTGTAAGAGAGACAAAGTTGAATAAAATAAGAACTGGGATTTGATCTGGCTGGAAAATCTGTTTAGCTCCAAAATTAAATGACTCCTGTACTAACTAACCCAGAAGAACCAGTTCACTCTCACACTGGGCTGTCGGCCCCCTGACATTCTTTTTTGTTCTCTCACTGCAATTCGGGTCTCACCCTATGGTCCCGCCACTGTTTTCTCAAGCCTATCAAAGATTTTATAATGTATATTTCCAAGACAAAAATAAGCAAGAACTAGTCCAAGCTGTGTACGTTCCTTGATCTGGAAAAAACCTCTATCTTTAGGTCAGTTCTCTCTCTCTACAAGATAAGATTGCTCTTTAAGGGAAACCTTTTTTGTTTTGAGCCGTCAGGTGAGCAGGTGAGGACGGTGAGACGCGCTTTGCCATGAAGCAGGGGGTCCTCAGGTGGGGTCCACCTGCCGCAGCCCCTGAACTCACACTTGCTGATGGGGCCCAGGTGTCTGACGGTGAGTTTCTCCAGGTGCCTCTGATGTTTGCTAACGAGAAACCTTTGCTCTCGCGGAAAGCAGGTTGCCCTCCCATGTGTGGCCTTGTGCTACAGGGCCCTGCCTGCTCGCCACACCCCCCTCCCGCACAGACCACTACAGCCATGATTAGCCCGGGTTCCTGCTTCCTCCTGTGCTGCTTTTCATGAACAGGTTTCTCCGGAATCTGGGCCTTTAGGAATCTCACACTGCACACTCTGAACCAACTGTTCCATGAGCCCAATCATGAGATCCCCAACCGTGTGCAACCAGTACCTGCTCTTAGGGATTTATCGGTCATCCTCACCATGTCCGGGCCCCAGAGCAAAAAGCACAGGCCCTGCGCCAGTCCTACTGAATTGGGATCCCCTAGGGTCACACGTGCTTATGTGTCAGAGCTCCCAGGAGAAGCCAAGGGCACCCTGGGTTAGGGCCACTGCTCTGGGGAAACCCAGAGGCCGCTCCACTCAAGCTAAATGGACTCAGTTTATTTTCAAGACCAACGTGAAAGTGGGCAGATCCTTAATGTGCTCTACAAACACCAAATCAAAGGACACGGTTGGACATAAAAGGGCACGTTATTGTACCTATGGCCCTGAGTCTATGCAGAGATGGTCAAGCAGTTCCACTGCCTTATTTAAAAATGACTGGCTCAGAGGGGCGCCTGGGTGGCTTAGTCGGTTAAGCGTCCGACTTTCGCTTAGGTCATGATCTCGCGGTTCGTGGGTTCGAGCCCCGCGTCGGGCTCTGTGCTGACTGCCAGCTCAGAGCCTGGAGCCTGTTT